AAGGTTTAAACAATGTAAAGAAGTCAAGTTACAGGGCCAAGTATTCATCAGAGAGGCTGCAACATAGGTTAGCTGTTTTTAGGTTTAAACACTAAGTTTACTAACATGCCCAATAGCCAATTTTCACTTATTACTCCTTACATTAAGCTACTATATAAAGTAATCTTTTTGAAATATATTTTTTAGTCAGGCAGACTTTTTCACTTACAAGTTACTTGACAGTCTCATCATTGGTGAAATGAGAATCATACCTAATTCACAGAGTTGTTGAGAGGAGCAAATGAGATCAGGGCCTATTGGGGCACATAGCGTTATAGTGAGTACATAACTAATGTTTATGTATCTTCTCATATTTTAAACCTAGAAAAATGTACTGTGAATTTTATACACCTAGGTCTGAGAATTCTAAATAAAGTGTGTAGAGATTAACTATTTTGTAGTCTATTGATAAATAGTTCAAAGGATGCCGATACCTACAGACTTTGAGCACTGGAGAGTGCTCAAAGAGTCTGTGTTTTTATAGATCTTGTTACCTTGTTAAATTCAAATAGAATTTAGTCAAATGAGCTTCTTTAAAGACATTCCATCTCATTATTTTATATTGATACATGCCTTGGAAAATTTATAATTAATAGAATTTGCACATTTGGGAGATTTGACTATGTTGACAATTTGGGCTTTTTATTTTCACCGAAAAGCTTAGGATTTTATTTATTTTTTAATGTTGAATTATAACTGTTTATTGCTGCAAAATAAATAACTGGTGATTGGCTGGAAGATTCAGATATTTTCAAAAAAGCCGGCTTTGTATAATCCCAAAGAGAGAGAGCAGGGCTCCTCTGGTTAACTTCATTCTAAGCTCTGCTAAGAGGACTTGGTGAAGCTGAGGGCACCCTAAAAACAGCTCTGGCCCTGGCCCTGTGAAATTCTGTGTCATCAGAGATTAGTTGTTAGATTTAGGAGGGACCTTCTGAGTGATTTAGGCCATCCCCGTCTTTTCAGTCAGAAATCATGGAAAGAAGTTATTTGAAAAGTTTTTGTTTGTCTGAGACAGAGTCTTGCTCTTGTTGTCCAAGCTGGAATGCAATGGTGCAATCTCGGTTCACTGCAGCCTCCTCCTGGGTTCAAGCAGTTCTCCTACCTCAGCCTCCCAAGTAGCTGGGATTACAGGTGTGCACCACCATGCCCACCATGCCCAGCTAAATTTTTGTATTTTTAGTAGAGACGAGGTTTCACTATGTTTGCCACACTGGTCTTGAACTCCTGACCTCAGGTGATCTGCCTGCCTCGGCTTCCCAAAGTGCCAGGATTACAGGCGTGAGCCACTACACCCGGCCCCTAAAGGAGATTTTTTTTTTCTTTGTAAGTATTTAAATCTACATTGTCATATATAACAACTCTGTACTGTTGATGGAGCAAAAGGGACTTAACAATGTTTAGTCTTTCAAGTTCTTTTTTTATTCTTTCTCTTTAAGACTGTTTATTGCTTTGGTTGCCCGGGCTAGCCTCAAACTCCTGGCCTCAAGCTATTCTCCTGCCTCAGTCTCCCAAAGTACTGAGATTACAAGCCTGAGTCACCACACCCGGCCTCAAGTTCTTACTGTTGGTAAATGGCAGAGGTGAGACTGAAGAACCAGGTCCAACAGATTTTTTTTTTCTCTTAGAAAATGCCATCATGCCTTGCTATCAAATATCAAACTACCTTGGCTTTTTGAGTTGTTGGAATTATTACATAAGCAGTCGCTACTTTTGTAATTAACTTCCTTGTGGGTAAGGTACTGCTTCTCCAATATGCCCCCAAATCTTAACAGAGCATAAGCATGCTGGGGCTGATAGGCCGACTCCTCTCTCAACTTCTGTTGGTTGCTCTGCTCTCCTCAGGAACCTGTGTGTTCCCTCTCATAGTCCAAGACGGCTGCTTTAGTTCTTGCCAGCATATCTGTATCCAGACCTTCTAAAGGAATAAAGAGCTGGCACTGTAGCCTGTATGCCTGTAATCCCAGCTATTCTGGAGGCTGAGGTAGGAGGATCACGAGGCCAGGAATTCAAGACCAGCCTGAGCAAGATGACAAGACCATGTCTCTTAAAAAAAAAAAAAAAGAGGCCGGGCGCGGTGGCTCAAGCCTGTAATCCCAGCACTTTGGGAGGCCGAGACGGGCAGATCACAAGGTCAGGAGATCGAGACCATTCTGGCTAACCCGGTGAAACCCCGTCTCTACTAAAAAAAAAAAATACAAAAAACTAGCCGGGCGAGGTGGCGGGCGCCTGTAGTCCCAGCTACTCGGGAGGCTGAGGCAGGAGAATGGCATGAACCCGGGAGGCGGAGCTTGCAGTGAGCTGACATCCGGCTACTGCACTCCAGCCTGGGCGACAGAGCGAGACTCCGTCTCAAAAAAAAAAAAAAAAAAGAGAGAGAGAGGGATGAGGGGAGACTGTGATTACTTCTTTTAAGAGCATGATCTGCAAGAGGCACACATTACTTTTGCTCTTGTCCAGAACTTAGCTACATAGCCTGAGCTAGCTGCAAGAGAGAATTGAATATGTCACCTGTAGCTGTATGGCTGTGTGTATACATAAAGTCCAGCCACCCTGTTAATACGGGGAGGGTGAATATTGGAGGACACTCAGGAGTCTGCCACAAGACCTAAGAAATAAGTAGTTACCCTGTGGCCTACTGAGAATGTATTCAAAGCAAGGACCTGGTAGCTTTTCCATCACACATACGAGTCATCACAGCCTTCAAGGTTCCTACTTATTAACCCTGTCTGCCCCATCTGAAGTAGCACGCCTGCCCCACTTGACTGTCTTATTATGCATTCTTTTTCTTCATAACCTTTGTCACTACCTACCATGATATATTTTGTCTTCTCCATTAAAATATAAGTTCTCTGAAGGCAGAGACTTGGTTGTGTTGATTGCTTCCAGCCCAGAGCCTAGAAAAATGCTGAGCACATAGTAAGGACTCAGTAACTGTAGCGTGAAAGAATGAAGTAATGTAGCTCTTTCTCCCAACACTGACAATGATTTGAGCATATTCCATTATTCATTTAATCCTTATTTATCTGTACGGTAAGCAAAGCACTATACTACATAGTTTGAGGAATGAAAAATATGGTCTGCATGTTATTCCACTCTGAAGAAAATCTAGCAAGCGCTATAAAGTGGATCACAAAGATACAAGACAAATTTCAAAGTGCTGTAAGTAACAGATTGAACACTACTGGAATTGAGAGGGATTGGGATCTACCTGGCATCTGGAAGACTTCCTGAAGTTATAGAATGTGGGTATTCACAGTGAAAGAGGGAAACAGCATGCAGGCAGGCTGTCATAGGGTGCTTTATAGGAAGTAGAAAGGTTAAAAAATAAACAGTCAACTGATCAGACAATTTGGTCATGGGCAACTCAGGGTTTTGTTGGTAAAAGACTAACCAAGTCTAATGCAGATGAGAATTAGCTATTTCTCCACAACCATGTTAGCAGGTTACAATAAAAGTAAGTCTTAGGTCAAATTCTGTGATGCATACAGACATTTGTTAAACATCTATTACAAGCAAGCACAAAACTGTTCATTATAACTTGTTTTGTAAGCATGGTAGAGTTCTAGCTCTTTATCATTTGGGGTAATTTGATCACACATGAAAGGTTCACTTATGCCAAATGTGATGACATTCCTGAGGCTGGTTATCCTTCATTTTTTTTATTTTATTATTATTTTTTTAATTTTATTATTTTTTAAATTTAATTTAATTTAATTTAATTTTTATTTATTTATTTATTTAATTTTTTTTTTGGATGGAGTTTTGCTCTTGTTGCCCAGGCTGGAGTGCAATGGTACGATCTTGGCTCACTGCAACCTCTGCCTCCCAGGTTCAAGTGATTCTCCTGCCCCAGCCTCCTGAATTGCTGAGATTAGAGGCGCGTGCCACAATGCCCAGCTAATTTTTTGTAATTTTTTAATAGAGACGGGGTTTCACCATGTTTGCCAGGATGGTCTCGCTCTCCTGACCTCGTGATCCGCCCACCTCAGCCTCCTTTAAATGAGCCTGAAACAACTAGAAATCCTTAGACCTATTGTCTGATCGTAGGACTCTCGGGTGTTTAGGCTTTGGAAATCATCCCTAAGGATGTGGGGGATATTGGCCTTCCTGGATTCTTAAACCCAGATCATGAAATAATGGGGACTGTCTGAACATTTTAACCACTCTATTAATACATATCTTGAAAACATTTAATTTCTCAGAACCCATTTTTAACATTCTTCATGCTTATTACAACTATCAATTTAATAAAAAACCAATTTCTGATATTCATGGTGCTAATTAACAAACCTGCTGTGTGCTATTAATCAATATTAGCAGCACTTATGATAGCTACCACTCTAGTATGGGCTTTACATGAACTACTAATTAGGGCAACTGACTGCACTAGTAATTTAACCTAGTGTGTAATATCATGCTGCTTATGCTGGAATATTTTAATGGTTTTGTAACAATGGCTAAAGGCAGTAGTAAAAAAATAATAATAATACTTAGGAAGGTAAGTAGCCCCTAGGGTGGGGCTAGGTAATGGAGGACAAGGTACAGAATTTCCTCTTAGCTTTAGAGTTTTGTTTTGTTTTTTGTTTTTGAGAGGAATTGCTCTGTTGCCCAGGCTGGAGTGCAGTGATAAAATCTTGACTCACTGCAACCTCCACCTCCTGGGTTCAAGCGATTCTCCTGCCTCAGCCTCTCAAGTAGCTGGGATAACAGGCGCCTGCCACCACGCCTGGCTAATTTCTTTCTTTCTTTCTTTCTTTCTTTTTTTTTTTTTTGAGACCAAGTCTGTTTCTGTCACCCAGGCTGGAGTGCAATGGCGCATTCTCAGCTCACTGCAACGTCTGCCTCCTGGGTTCAAGCAATTCTCCTGCCTCAGCTTCCTGAGTAGCTGGGACTACAGGCGCATGCCACTACGCCCGGCTAATTTTTGTATTTTTGGTAGAGATGGGGTTTTACCATGTTGACCAGGCTGAGTCTTGAACTCCCGACGTCAGGTGATCCACCCGCCTCGGCCTCCCAAAGTGCTGGAATTACAGGCATGAGTCACCACGCCCAGCCAGAATATCCATTTTCTAAAGCTCCTATAAAAATTAAAGGAGATACGCTAAAGGCCAACCATTACACAAATGAGAGGCAGAATAAATTTTTTTTTTTTTTTTTTTTTTTTTTTTGAGACGGAGTCTCGCTCGTCGCCCAGGCTGGAGTGCTGTGGCGCGATCTTGGTTCACTGCAAGCTCCACCTCCCGGGTTCATGCCATTCTCATGCCTCAGCCTCCCGAGTAGCTGGGACTACAGGCGCCCGCCACCACGTCCGGCTAATTTTTTGTATTTTTAGTAGAGACAGGGTTTCACCGTTTTAGCCAGGGTGGTTTCTGTGTCCTGACCTCGTGATCCGCCCGCCTCGGCCTCCCAAAGTGCTGGGATTACAGGTATGAGTCACCGTGCCCGGCCAAATCAATATTTTTATATATTCTACGTATAAATGTTAGGTGTGAAAGTGATCATGGTTTTTGCCATTACTAAAAACCGCAATTGCTTTTGCACCAACATAACAGCCCTTGTACTTTTCCTCCACTTCTGTTCTTATCAGGGCAACAGTTCTGGCTTTATTATTCATCTACTTGCTTTTTGTTTCTTTCTCACACACTCAGTCCCTCTGCCCCCAAATCCGAAGATCAAATAAATGAATCTTACTGAAGTTTGATTTGTGCTATCTGCCACTTAAAAAACCAAATAAAAACAAAACTTTGCCAGGTGTGGTGGCTCACACCTGTAATCCCAGCACTTTGGGAGGGCGAGCCAGATCACTTGAAGTCAGGAGTTCAAGACCAGCCTAACCAACATGGCAAAACACTGTCTCTACTAAAAATACAGAAATTAGCGGAGCGGGCCAGGAGCAGTGGCTCACACCTGTAATACCAGCACTTTGGGAGGCCGAGGCAGGCGGATCACCTGAGGTCAGAAGTTCAAGACCAGCCTGACCAACATGGAGAACCCTCGTCTCTACTAAAAATACAAAATTAGCCGGGCATGGTGGCGCATGCCTGTAATCCCAGCTACTCGGGAGGCTGAAGCAGGAGAATCACTTCAACCCAGGAGGTGGAGTTTGTGGTGAGCCAAGATCACACCACTGCACTCCAGCCTGGGCAATAAGAGTGAAACTCTGTCTCAAAAAAAAAAGAAAGAAAGAAAGAAAAAGAAAAGAAAAGAAAATGGATATTCCTTTCCATTAAGGAAGATGGTTCAGAGAGATTAAATTGACTTGTCCAAAGTCACAAACCTAGCATATGATGCTGGAACTGAGACTCAGAGGCAGGCAGTGTTCTACACTGAAAAGAGCATAGGGAATGGCAAGATTCCAGAAGTTGGCTAACTTGTAGTGAGAGATACACATGCACTGTTGGTGTAAAATTGCTACAACGTCTCTAGTGAGCAGTTTTGCAATGTATTTTAAGTGACTATGCCCTTTGATCTAGCAAATCCACTTACATATTTCCTATTTTAACTCACAGATATTTCCAGACCTATGTGTGAGAATATTAATTTCAACATTGTTGAAATAACAATAGGTTGAGAGCTAGTTAATAAATTATATTGCATATACCCATTTAATAAAATACAATTATTAAAGAGTATGTTCTTTATGGACTGATAGGATCAGATCCAAACCATATTAATCAAATTAGCTAAGTACAGAACTGTGTGTGTATGTATTTTTTAAATCGTTTTCCTTTAAAAAGAAAATTTACACACACACACAAACACACACAGAGATAGATTTTCCATCTCTTCAAAGATTGAAAGAAACTAACAGTGATTGCCTCTGGGAAAAGGAACTAGGTGACTGAAGAACAGGCTAAGAGGAAGATTTATTTTTCACCATATATGCCTTTTTGTATCTTTTGAAAGATGTACCTTATATTACCTTTTTTTAAATAAAAGAGCATGAGATTTGCATTCAAAGAGAATTTATTATTATTATTATTATTGAGACGGTGTTTTGCTCTTTTTGCCCAGGCTAGAGTGCAATGGCGTGATCTCAGCTCACTGCAACCTCTGCCTCCCGAGTTCAAGGGATTCTCCTGCCTCAGCTTCCCAAGTAGCTGAGATTACGGGCATGTGCCACCACACCCGGCTAATTGACCATGGCCAAGTTATTTTCTAATTTAATGTGACCACGTTATAGAACATATGAAAAGAAACTCTCATATGAAACCAACACTCAGACACAATTTAACTTGGGTATAATTCTTCCTGGTCTTTTAAAAAATCCTCATTTTTTTATTTCAAAGTAAACAATTTAATTTTAAAACATAGTACAGCATTCATGGGCCCCTGTAAAGTATAGTGATTTATTGATGAAGCTTTAGAATAATAAGTAGAGAAGTACTTACATATTTGCTTATTGTTCAATAAGTGCACCATATTTTCCTGCTCAGGTCCATGAATTCTCAATGCATCCTTTCTGGCTAATATCATATCCCACCCTGAGAAAAAAGAATCAACACTGTTACTACTTTAAATGCCATAGCTCTTGGGAATTTGTTTGTGTTGAAACAATACAGGTTATCTTGGCTATGCAGTTCCCTAGTGCTAATTATTTAATGCTGGTTACCTTATTACTCCTGACTGTGCATCATACAGTGACTTCCAATGACACTGTCAAAGATTGTTACCGTGCTTCATTGATGATAAAGACAAATGCAAGTCTTAACCAGAGTATGCAGGAAGATATGAACCCTAATTCATTTTCTAGTCATGTTAAATTTGCCATTTGAAATTTTATCACATAAAGGTGGAACAACACATTTTCCAACAGCGCCTTCTCTTGAGCTCTTTAAGCCATAATCACTGTTGACCACCCCGCTACCTTACACATACTGCCAGGAGAAAGAAGGATAAACCAGGGGCCCATGGGCAAAGTCAGAGTGGCAGCCCCGTTCACACAAGAAATGTCTGTCCCTTCTTGGCACGACTTGAGGCCGGCCTGGGAGGACACGATGTGGCCACACGATCAGAGGTAAGATAGAACCATCAATTGATAGAGCCCGTTGGCATTGTGTAGCAAAAGTCTCCAAAGCCCTAGAAGGAGGCAGCCAGGTCACCCCTGGAGGACTGCCTGATACAGAGCACAAAGCCTGTAAAGGAGGGGGCACTGAGTCATGGGGCCCAGGGCAAGTTACCCGTTTGCAAAACTGTCCAAATTGATCTGGACTAGTCACAATGGCAGTATTAAAAAGAAGAGAAATGAGCATTGTTTTTTAGCCACTTTCTTATTTGTTCTCTGTTACAGTAGTGCGGAAATATTGTAATTAATATGCTCCCATATGTCGGATATTACCAACCTTTTTCATTGTCATACTCTGATAAAAAAAAAAAATGGTACTTTATTTTTGCTTTTAGTAAGGTTGAGCCTGTATTTATGCTTCTTGATCAATTGTGTTTCTTCTCTCAAGTGCCTATTAATGTTCTGTGCCCACTGTTTTCTACTAGGGACTTTTTGAGGCTGAGTTTTAAGAGATGTATATGATATCCCCTATAAGGTGACACTGTACGACACGCAATGAAGGAGGTAGCTGTGTGTCCGCAGTTGGTTCCTGCCGATGGGTTCATGGTCTCGCTGACTTCAAGAATGAAGCCGTGGACCTTCGCGATGAGTGTCACAGCTCTTAAAGGTGAGCATTACAGCTCTTAAAAGATGGCACGGACCCAACACGTGAGCGGTAGCAAGGTTTATTGTGAAGAGCAAAAGAACAAAGTTTCCACAGCGTGGAAAGCAACCCCAGCAGGTTGCAGCTGCTGGCTGAAGTGGCCTGCTTTTATTCCCTTATTTGTCCCCTCCCATGTTCTGTTTCTGTCCTATCAGAATGCCCTTTTTTCAATCATCCCCATGATTGGCTACTTTTAGAATCCTGCTGACTGGTGCATTTTACAGAGCACTGATGGATGCGTTTTACAGAGCACTGACTGGTGCATTTTGTAGAGCACTGATTGGTGCATTTTACGGAGTGCTGATTGGTGCATTTTACAAACCTCTTGTAAGACTGGAAAGTTCCTGATTGGTATGTTTTACAAGCCTCTTGTAAGATAGGAAATTCCCCAAGTCCCCAGTGGCCCCAGGAAGTCTAGCTGACCTCACCTCTGCCCTCCATGTCCTTGATGATGGAGATCCAGTTGGTCCTCTGTATCTATGAGTTCTGCAACTGGGGATTCAACCAACCACAGATTAAACCAACCACAGATTATTTGTTGTTCACTGATTTATTTTACTGAATTGATAGTGTACACTGGAGCATACCATAAAAAAACTAAAACTAACTCATATGAGCTCTTTCCCAGTAGTCCATTCATGAAATCCTACAGGTACCATCACACTTATTTGTGAAAATTTGAAATTTTTGTTCCTAAAATCAGGAACAAGACAAAGATGCTCATTTTCAGTGATGAAGATTCTAGGCACTGCAAGGGGAAAAAATATTCGTAACAGGAAAAGAAGGAATAAAGCTATCTTTTTTTCTAATGACAGGAGAGAAATTTTAAAAGACCTAAGTAAATATGAGTTAGTTGTAGAGTTTTTTAATGGTATGCTCTAGTATACCTTATCAATTCGATAAAATAAGGTAGTAAAAAACTAATAACAACTCATGTAGAAAATCTGATGAAACCTATAAAAACCTTATGAGAACCAATGAGTTTACTGAGTTTGTGGGACACAAGATAAACATACAAGTATTAACTGTATGTCTATAGACTAGCAATAAATAATCAGAAATTGAACATAAAAAAACAATATTATTTGCAATGGCCTAGAAAACATGAAATTATTAGGAACAAACCTAACAAAAGATAGAAAAACCTTATACACTGAAACCTACAAAACAGTGAGAGAAATTAAAGACCTAAGTAAATGGAGAGAGACACCTTGCTCATAAATCAGAAATTCAATACTGTTAAGATATCAATTCTCTCAAAATGATCTCTAGATTCAACGCAATCCAATCAAAATCCTAGCTTTCATTGTTGTAGAAATCAACAAGCTGATTCCAAAATTGATATGGAAATTCAAAAGTCAAGTATTCAAAACAACTTTGAAAAAGAAAACAACATTGGAGGACTAACACTATCAGATTTCAAGAATTATTATTAAAAACTCAAGTAATCAATATACCGAGGGTATTGGAATAACAGTAGATAAATTAATAGAACAGAACCAACAGTCCAGGCCAGGCGCAGTGGCTCATGCCTGTAATACCAGTACTATGGGAGGCCAAGGCAGGTGAATCCCTTGAGCCCAGAAGTTCGAGATCAGCCTGGGCAATATGGCAAAACCATGTCTCTACCAAAAGCTACAAGAATTAGCCAGACATGGTGGCACATGCTGTGGTCCCAGCTACTCATGAAACTGAGGAAGTAGGATTGCTCAAGCAATGAGTGGAGGTTGCAGTGAGCTTAAATCATGCCACTGCACTCCAGCCTGGACAACTGATCAAGACACTGTCTAAAAAAAAAAAGAGTCCAGAAACAGATACACACTCCTATGAGCAACTAATTTTCAAATAAACTGCCAAAACAATTTAGTGGAGAAATGACAGTCTTTTCATCTGGAACAACTGGATATCCATATGTAAAAAAAATGAACTTCAATCCAAATTTTGCAATATATGTAAACTAACTCAAGGCCAGGCATGGTGACAGGTGCCTATATTCCCAGCTACTTGGGAGTCTGAGGCAGGAGGATGGCTTGAGCTCAGGAGTTTGAAGCTATCTTGCATTATGATCATGCCTGTGAATAGGCACTGCACTCCAGCCTGGGCAACATAGTAAGATCCCATCTCTAAGCAATAATAATAATTCAGATCATAGACCTAAATGTAGAAACCAAACTATAAAACTCTTAGAAGGAAACAGGGGAAAGTTTTTGTGACCTTGGCTTTGCAAGATTTCTTAGATGTGATGTCAAAAGCACAATTCATAAAATAGATTGTTCAATTGTATTTCATCAAAATTAAATAAACTTCTGCTCATTGAAAGACACTATTAAGAAAAAAAAAAAAAAAAAAAAAACTACAGACTGGTAGAAAATAGTTTCAGAGCATATGTCTGTATCCAGAATATATAAAGTACTCTTAAAACTCAATAATTTAGAAAATAACACAATTTTTAAATGAGCAAAATTTTCAACAAAAAATTCACCAAAGAAGATACATAGATGACAAATAAGCACAATAAGAAGTACTCAACATCATTAGTCATTAGAAAAATGCAAATTTAAACCATAATGCAATATTACTACACACTCCCTAAAATGTCTAAAATGTAAAAGATAAACCAAGTGTTGACAAGGATGTAAAGGAACTGAAACTCTCATACAAGGTTGGTGGGAATGTAAAATGGTACATACAATCATTTTGGAAAACAACTTACCAGTTCCTTAAAAAGTTAAATATACACCCATCATAGGATACAGCTATTCTATTCCTAGGTATTTACTCAAGATAATTGAATGCATAATTCTGTGCAAAGATTTTTACATGGATGTTTATTTGTTAACCCATAAATGAAAATAACCCAAATATCTGTTAATAGATGAAGAGATAAGCAAGCTATTGTAAATTCATGCAATGGAATATTGCATGGATAATCTCAAATAATTATGCTCAGTAACAGAAGTCAGACCCTTCCACCCCCCAAAACAGAATATGCTGTTTCATTTCATATATCTACAGTTCTAGGAAATGTGTACTAATTTAGAGTAACAAAAACTAGATCAGTGATCACTTTGGTTTGTGGCAGATGGAATGAGAAAAAATGTGGGGGAGCGGAGCTATTTTATTTTATTATATTTATTTATTTATTTATTTATTTATTTATATTATTTATTTATTTTTGAGACAGAGTCTTGCTCTGTCGTGCAGGCTGGAGTGCAGTGGCACCATCTCGGCTCACTGCAACCTCTGTCTCCCGGGCTCAAGCAATTCTCCTGCCTCAGCCTCCTGAGTAACTAGGATTACAGGCACCTGCCACCACCCCCAGCTAATTTTGTATTTTTAGTAGAGACAGGGTTTCATGTTCCAAAAAGCCTGTGCTGGGCCCTGTATGACTGCATGGTTGCATACCCATGATGACAATGATTAATCTTCATTATGGTTCTTGGAACTAAAGAGGAAAGTTTGGGGTAACATATCATACAGAGTATCTCTTGTTGATACTATTTCCTGGGAGTCGCCATAAGGCTCTTTTAATATAGAGCAAGCAAAAACCCAGACCCAAAAATCCTCTAGAAAATGTCCTCGCCTTTAAAATTCTAAATGACTCATTTGTCATCATTGTAGAGGGAGAAGAACAATTTCTCAGCTGATCATAACCCATACTTGTTGTGAGTTTAGAGCCAAAGTCTAGTCTTACAAAATCATTCCTCTCTGACTATATAAACCAGGGAAGGAGAATGCTGAGATTAATGAATTAATTACCATGTGTCTCCTGATGGAGATCAGAAAGTTAATTCTGTTTCTTTTTGTCTTTCTTATCAGAATGTGGAAATGTAAATCTGCTCTGTATAAGACTGGATTCAGTTTACAAAAATAAGCCTGAAACCTTTGGACTCAGGGGGCCCAGGTGGAGAGATTCTTTCTGTTCGTTATCTGTCCTCCTGCCTCCAGCCTGTGCCATAGACTCCAAATGGATAAAAGCTCTGTATAGAGAGGTTGTATTACCATGGAGTACAATATATGTCAGATTTGGGTAGAAGTGAACACAGTGGAGGATAATAAAGAGAGAGCTGAGTTCTGTCTCAGTGAGTACAACAAAAGTCAGATGAACTCGTCCGAGGGCAAAAGTGGACCCCAAAGGCTTGTTCCTGCGGACTTTGCTGGTTGACTGCTCTTTGCATTAATCTGGAATCATGGCGCACCATTCCTCTTTTCATGTTGTGATATTCTCTTCACATTCTCTTCCTTGCTCCTCAATGCCAAATGTGTGAATTTTCAGAAACAAAATATTAGGAATTTAAAGTGAGAATACTGTAGCAACCTGTGAGATGCACAGAAAATCATAAACTGTTGAAAAACTGGGATTGGGATTGATTGCTGGAGGCATAAATTTTGTGTGTACATCCAAAAAATAATGCCATGCTCTGAGACTTAGAATATAGTCATCTTGTGTGAATTTATGAATTATATTGAGTAGAAAATATATATATAGTTATTTGACATTAAGAGACAATGAATACATAAGTGTTGACCAGCCTGGCCAACACAGTGAAACCCGTCTCTACCAAAAATACAAGAATTGGCCAGGCGTGGTGGTGGGTGCCTCTAAGGCCAGCTATTCGGGAGGTTGAGGTGGGAGAATCTCTTGAACCCAGAGGCAGAGGTTGCAGTGAGCCGAGATCACGCCACTGCACTCCAGCCTGGGCGACAGAGCAAGACTCCATCTCAAACAAACAAACAAACAAGCAAAAAACACATAAATAAATAGTCATAAAAGCAACAAAAAAGTGACAATAAAATGACACTGTTAACTGGAGCTATTCGGATATGTGTTGTTGTTGTTGTTTTCCATTTATTGTACTTCTCTCTCTCCCTTTAAAAAAAGATTAAAAAAAGAGAAAGGTTGAAAGGTTATGGCCCTGCCAGACATGGTGGCTCACACCTATAATCCCAGCAATTTTGGAGGCAGAGATGGTACAATCACTTGAGCGCAGGAGTTCAAGATCAACCTGAGCAACATAGCAAAACCTCATCTCAGGCCATCTGCAGTGGCTCACGCCTGTAATCCCACCACTTTGGGAGGCCGAGGTAGGTGGATCACTTGAGGTCAAGAATTTGAGACCAGCCTGCTCAACATGACAAAACCCCATCTCTACTAAAAATACAAAAATTAGCCAGGTGTAGTGGCAGGCGCCTGTCATCCCAGCTACTTGAAGGCTGAGGCAGGAGGATCCCTTGAACCCGGGAGACAGAGGTTTCAGTGAGTCGAGATCACGCCACTGCACTCCAACTTGGGCGACAGAGCGACATTCCATCTCCAAACACAAAAAAAACAAAAGCACGACAACAATAAGCTTTTGGTCTTTTCAGGAATAAGCCATAAAAATTGATCATTCAACTGAAGGTTTTGGGTTTTTCTTTTTGAAGGAAATCTATTAAAGCTCTCTAAACATGAGAAAAATGCTCAATAGAAAACGGAAGTGGCAGGGCACAGTGACTCTGTAATCCCAGCACTTTGTGAGGCTGAGGCCGGCAGATTACTTGAGGCCAGGAATTCAAGACCAGCCTGGCCAACATGGTGAAACCCCATCTCTACTAAAAATACAATAATTAGCCAGGCATGGTGGCACATGCCCATAATCCCAGCTACTCAGGAGGCTGAGGCAGGAAAATCATTTGAACCCTGATGGCAGGGGTTGCAGTGAGCCGAGATGGCACCATTGCACTCCAGCCTGGGTGACAGAGCGAGACTCCCGTCTCAAGAAAAGAAAAAGAAAAAAAAAAAAAGGAAGGGAAAAACAAAGGAAGAAAGAGAGAGAGAAAGAAAATGGAAGTATTGATAGACAAAGTAGCATCTCTGACTGAAAAGAATATTAAGTAACTTAGAGAAGAAAGTGGCTGCTTTAAAAAAAATTTTTTTTGTTTTGACTCGTATGTTGGGTGTGTTGGCTCATGCCTGTAATCCCAGAGCTTTGGGAGGCCGAGGCAGGAGAATCACTTGAGTTCACAGGAGTTCAAGACCAGCCTGGGCAACATAGTGAGATCCCCTATCTACAAAAAAAAGAAAAAAAAAAATAGCCAGACATGGTGGCACACGCCTGTAGTCCCAGCTATCAGGATGCTGAGGTGGGAAGATCTTGAGCACAGGAGGCTGAGGCTGAAGTGAGCTGTGATTGTGCCACTGCACTCCAGCCTGGGTGGCAGAGCAAGAAAAAAAAAAAAAGGAAATCTGTAAAAGTGAACAGATGTTATCAATATGTGAATTAATTGTAGGAAATGTTGACTGGTTTTTTCTTACCAGTTGGCTCTTAGGCAATTTTAAACAATGAAAATGTTGTGGTCGGGCACAGTGGCTCATGCCTGTAATCCCAGCACTTTGGGAGGCTAAGACGGGTGGATCACTTGAGGTCAGGAGTTCGAGACCAGCCTGGCCAATATGGTGAAACCCCGTCTCTACTAAAAATACAAAAAAAAAAAAAAAAGTTGTTGGGCGTGGTGGCAGGCACCTGTAGTCCCAGCTCGGGAGGCTGAGGCAGGAGAATTGCTTGAACCCAGGAGGTGGAGGTTTCGGTGAGCTGAGATCGCGACACTGCACTCCAACCTGGGTGACAGAGCAAGACTTTGTCTCAAAAAGAAAGAAGGAAAGAGAGAAAGAGAGAAAGAGAGAGAAAGAAAGAAAGAGAGAGAGAGAGAGAGAGAGAAAGAAAGAAAAGAAAGAAAGAAAGAAAGAAAGAAAGAAAGAAAGAAAGAAAGAAAGAAAGAAAGAAAGAAAGAAAGAAAGAAAGAAAGAAAGAAAGAAAGAAAGAAAGAAAGAAAGAAGGAAAGAAAGGGAGAGAAGGAAGGGAAGGAAGGAAGGAAGGGAGGGAGGGAGGGAAGGAAGGAAGGAAGGAAGGAAGGAAGGAAGGAAGGAAGGAAGGAAGGAAGAAAGAGAGAGAGAAAGAAAAAAGAAAGAAAGAAAGAAAGAAAGAAAGAAAGAAAGAAAGAAAGAAAGAAAGAAATGCTGTGGGTTTATTTTTTCCTTGTGTTCATGTATACATTATCATCATTAAGATTGCAAATTGTTTTTGCTCTCTATGCAGGATCTAAAAAAATTTGTATTGCAAATTGTATTGGAGTGGGGTCAGAGTGAAGGAAAGCAAAAGCACTAGGAGAGTTCAATAAATGCCAGTTTCAAAAGTAAACTTTAGGCAGTCTCATTCAGAAATGCCTTTTGGAGTACATATAAAAATATCAGATGTTCAAATTGGAGAACACTTAAAAAGCAAGTATTTAAAAGTTGAGACATTCCATCATAGGATTCTGAAGTGAAGCAAATGCAAATGATAAATTTTTATAATAAAAATAAACACAAATGAAACATGCATAAAAGTTGGTTTGTTCAGGTAAATTCCTTGGAGGCCAATTGGCATTTCAATGGGTGGTGATAACAGAAAACGATTTTTTAGTATGCCCAAAGCCGATTGCCTTAACACCAACATAGAAACACAGAAGGTGATTGCAAGCTTTTAAAAAGTTACTTTGATTTCTATAGAAAAAGAAAACATATTTTTAGCCATTATCTAAGCCACTTAGGAACAACAAATTGCACATCAATGTGGATCTCAACTCAGAAAGATGGAGAAACGAGTCATTTAACATGCACTTATCCGTGGCTCCTCTAAATATGTGGAGGGTACTTGGAATCTTGGACAGCATAAAACACGATAAAATGAAATTACTAAATACATCCTAGGAAACAAAACAAAACAAAAGAGCTTGAAGAAACTACAAACAATTTAGCACTTCCTCTATGGGAAATTTCCTGTCTATTTTAGAACGGTTCTGATTTGTCAAATGGATTTAAATATGCAAAACAGTGAAGAGTGGCCTAGGCAGGGGTATAAAATCCCTGGGAGCAGTTAAGGAAAAGGACTCCTCCAGAGAAGAGGCTCCACAACTGGAGGGGCTGCAATGAGTTAGGAAGGGCTGGAATTGGGCTGCTTTAGGAAAATGGAAATTCTGCAACATTGGCTAGTAAAAATGCAAATATACAAGACTGTAAGGCTTTTCCTAGGATGAACAGAAAGGAAGCTTGCTCTAACAGTGGGCAAATATGACTGTTTAGAGCTGGCATCAGAAGAAAACCTGCATATCTGAGTCTCCAAGGAGTGTGGTTTTTCTGCCTGAGACAGCCTGCAAATGACATAAAGGTCTCGCTCAAAGTAAGCCAATCAAGTTGGGTTTGGTGGTGATTATCAGCACCCAAAACACAGTAGAGAGGTACCACTTGTACTTCAGTGGCTCCAGCTCCTTATGTCCTCTTTTCATGTGTACTGCTTTGTTTAGAGTTAGTTGCGTTTAATAAAGACTTTTTTACTGGCCGGGCGCGGTGGCTCACACCTGTAATCCAGCACTTTGGGAAGCCAAGGTCGGCAGATCACTTGAGGTCAGCAGTTGGAGACCAGCCTGGACAACATGGTGAAACCCTGTCTCTACTAAAAATACAAAAAGAAAAAAAAAAAAAAAATTAGCCGGGCGTGGTGGCACGCGCCTGTAATCCCAGATACTCAGGAGGCAGAGGCACGAGAATCACTTGACCCCGGGAGGCGGAAGTTGCAGTGAGGGGAAATCGCACGCACTGCACTGCAGCCTGGGTGACAGAGCGAGACTTTGTCTCGCGGGGAGAAAAAAAAAAAAAAAAGATTTTTTACTTTTGTAGAAAAAGCATAATGGAATAAATGGTGTGCTAGATTTGCCCTCCAATTATTTAAACTCAGCATAAGCCTGATTTATGCAGCTGGGCACGGTTGCAGAGTCTCTACCAAAATACTCATTATCATAGGGGAAAGGAGAAAAAAGTAATCTTCCTACAGAGGCTCTATCTAAGGGACTCTACATCCTTGTTCCTGGGGATGCCTTTTGCTGTGTTAAACAAAATACCTGCCATTAGTATGGACTATCTTACCTACCTACAGGTGAATGAGAAGGTGAAGCCGGCCACATTTCACCAGAATCCTCGCATTACAAAATAATCACAGGGTCTTCTCAGGTGTTTGTCTATAAATCACTAAATAGGGGAGGCTAATGACAAAAAAAAAAAAAAAAAAAAAAAAAAAAATTCCTACAGTACTGCTGATTAAATATCAATCAGTACAGAAGCAAATACAAAAACAAAAATAAATCAGAACTTAGAACTGATAAGCAAATAAGAATTATTTTAAAATGGAGATAACCAACCTAAAAGCTTAACCATAAAAACATTTTAACCGTCAATGTGGTGGCTCCTAACCAATGGGCAGGCAGAGAATACAGAAGGAAACATGCAATCTTAGCTGTGCCAAGGTTTTGTGAACCCAAACCTATCACAGAATTCATAGGAGTTGAAGAAATGTGATGGAAATGGAGATTTATTTATTTTTATTAAAAGACAGGGGTCTCGCTCTGTTGCCCAGGCAGATTTTGAACTCCTGGCTCAACTGATCCTCCCACCTCAGCCTCCCAAAGTGCTGGGATTACAGGTGTGAGTCACCACGCCCGGCTGAGATTTCAAAAATTAAGCCTTCAAAAAACATTATTTTGTGTACTTTAAAAAAAAAAATGCAATCCAATGAGCAACATCTTTCTCATCTTTGTTTTCAT